ATATATATATATATATATATATATATATATATATATATACATTAAAAACAATATATAGAGTACAAATCAAAATCAAAATAAAATCTAACACACCCTTTAAGGAAACAAATTGCAGTACCTATTATCATACAACTCAAGCTTTGTATTTGCCGTTTCGTTCATAACAAAGTTGAAAAGGTGTTTCTTGCTCCGTCTTTGAGTTACAAGTCACAGTTGACTTTGTTTCTCTCTCTCTCTCTTTATTTACACATGCACCTCTTCACTTATCTCATAATATTCAACAAGCTCACAAAAGTTGAATGCATACGATACAATTGGTGGGGTACTTTTCACTGGGAATTTCTCTTCAGCCAGGTCTTAATTATATATATTAATTACTCCTCTCTGTTTATTATCTCTATTAATTTGTTTTTCTTAGTTATTGCATGCGAAGTATAACCCAAGTTCAAGTTACATTGATCTCAGAGTTTGATTTTAAAATTGATATGGTACAAAACCACATGTAACAACTATATTTTGTTAATTTCATTGTAAAATGCAGAATCAACAAGAAAACATGGCTAATTTTGAAAAAGATGGGGAGCCCGTGCTGTCAGAAACACATGCACAACATAATGATGAACTTAAGAATTCTAGCTTTCAAAAGGTTGTAACACGAACAAGAAGTGCATCGATTTCAATTCCTATGGTCTCCATGGAGCAATATGAGAGAGAAACTAGTCTTGTGAGGCATACGAGTCCACTTCTTAGTATGAGAAAATCCCCCTTAAGGCATATGAGTGGTCCACTATATGCTACCAATGGAACTGAAAATCTTCTGCATCAGAGTATAACTGTGAAAGGAAACAAAGCAGTAGAGAGCAAGACAGAAAAATTTTCTAGTGTTGAAATGACAGATGAAAGTCATTGGAATAACAACAATGATAGAAAGAATGAACACTTGCTAAGGTCTGGGCTATTGGGAATGTGTAATGATCCTTATTGTACAACTTGCCCTACTTACTTCAAGACCTCTATGCAAAGACTTCCAAAACCTTCCACTATATTTGATCCCCAGGTAATTTTATATATATACCATTACTTTTAGGAATCATATCATAGACTTTTCATATTTTGAAGTTCATTTAAGTATATAGTGCATAATAAGAGAAATTTATTCATCAGAAGTGTTTATTTTCTATTCTCAACAAGGTTAATTAGGAGATGACAATTTTTTGGGGGATATATTTATTGAATTCATGTATGTAATGGCCAACAATTTTGATATTTATGCAAAACTATGATTTGATACACTCTTGACTCTCATCGATTTTAGATCATTGTGTTTAATCATATTTACATACATGTTTGGGAAATATATATTAATTTCCCAATTTCAGTTGCTTTTTATGAAGAAAAAAAATTGTTTATAAAACAAGTTATATGTTTGGGATAACAGTTGAAATTTATATAAAAAAAAATATGAAAAATATGTTGTTTTTATGCATGTATAAATTTGAAATATATCGTTAATTATGATTATTTCTCAAAGACTTTTTTCCTCCTAAAATTAATTTACTATATAAAATCCGGTTTTCTTTTAATTGTATCTAAACCAAATGAATTACTTTAAAATTATTTTCCAACAAATTTAGTCAAACAAAAATTCATTATATTTATAACCAATTATTGAATTAATCTAACTTAATTTTACAACTATCACAAACACACCTTTATTAAGCATTAAAATATTGAATAGTATTTCTATGAAAAGCACTTTTTGTTTCAGTCGCTATTAACTTACGTAGTTAATTATAAGTATATTCATTAGAAAATATTTTGGTTTGGTATTGAAACCCTATAGCTTAAGCATCTAATGTTTGGCTGCTATATAATTTTGATCTATCGTGAGTATATAATATCATACCGAAGAAAATTCAATTAAAAGTAAACTACAACTTATGAATAATCTAGAAGAAAAATATTGTTATTTTTTGAGACACTTGTTTTGGTGATGCTTTTCTCCCTTGAGTATGGTCCCCTGGAAATGCTAGCATCTACGACATTTTTATTTTATTTTTTATTTTCTTTCAAAGGTTAGAGTGAGTGGGAAACTAGTTTATGGTGTAGGACAATAATTCTTCTTCTCCAAGATAAATAACAAGATAGTGTTTTCACAATTTAAAATAATTTTACAACTAAGAAGATGAATGCACCATTCTTTGACCATTTGCTCCAAACACTAAGCAAAAATATCTTTTTAGATACAACTGATTTTAAAAAAATAACAAGATAGTGTTTTCACAATTTAAAATAATTTTACACCGGTTCTTAAATAGCCAATGTAAAAAACTCTTTTTATATAGATTCAAATTACAATCGATATAAAAAAAAAAAAAAAATTACGTCAATTCAATTTAAACCGATGTAATATGTCAATCCAAGCATGCAATGATCATGACATTCAAGACCATGCAACAAGTAAAACAGTAGACTCTCTTGTAAAACTTCTTCCTCTTACGAACCTATCTAGCTCTTGTATGAATGCATTCTTCAAATTTGACTCCATCACCAATGTCTTAAAAGTGGAGGGATGCTCCAAATTTATGGGTCCCATTTGACCTCGTTTAAGTAGTCAACAACCTTCTCACCCTTCTCAAGACGAATGTTGAGTTTTTTTTCTCTTTTGGACTCTTGCTAATCATGAGCCTCTCATTCTGAGGGCTGACTCGAGTAAAAAAGTAGACTTGGTTGCTAGCTGTGTCATTGTCATGGACTTCTCGATGATGAGTATTAGTTAAGTTTTTAGTGATTATTAGTTATTAATATTTTTATTAAATAATAAAATAGAGATAATTAATTTATTATTACTAAATAATTATCATTAATAATAAATTTTAGTGTAGTGGGGTAGGGACTTGGGGGAGAAAGGCTTGTATTTGTGTGGGAAGGTGCAGAGGTTAGCTCTTGCTAATCTTGAGCCTCTCATTATAGTTATTTGTTTGGTCTCTTCTTTATTAAAAGTCAACCGAGACTATCAAGTAAGTGAGGAATGATAATAAACCTTCAATTAACAAACTTTAGTTTAAATCAAGGTTGGAACCTTTGTTTTTAGGATGTAAGAGCTATTTAATAACGATTTACTCTTGTTTAGTTTTAAATCTAACAGATGTATCATGTAGTAAATTTAACAAAGGACAAAATAGTATCACATGGCAAAAACAAGACATTAAACTTTATGGCATACACTACAAAACCCATGCATTATATTTTACTTCAAAAAGAAATTGTCCCAAATATTATCTTTACAAATGTTTGCATCTAAACCCAATTACTAATGGTACAAATTTTGGTCGTAGTAGCTGGTAGCATAGCATATTTAAATAAAATTAATCATTAGTATTTCTTTTTGCAGAAATTAAAATCTTTAGTATACTTTTCATTATTGTAAGTGATTATTAGTTATGTTTATTACTCATTTATAATAAAATTAAGGATCAAATATGAACTACTTTTGTATTTTTTTTTATCAATAAAAAAAAAAGTATAATGATGGTTAGAGGTGTTAAAAAGAATAAGTTGACTTGATAATCGAATCAAGTTAGATTCCAAAAGTAGTCTAAAAAGTACAAAAAATCAATTTGATCCAATCTCACATGTTAATGGACTAGGCTAGTCATAAAATAAGTGACCTATAAAAAATTTAGATAGAAGGGATCAACGCAAATAAATGTGGGTCGAGTAAATCTAAATAAAGATATATTGATTCTAAATCTTCACTACTATAACACGACTTTATTGGTTTCGTTGTTTGAAAATTAAATAAACAAGCTCAGAATTTGAAAACTACAAGGAATTTTTTAAACAATTTTGAACTCTATTGATTAAATTGAATTTGTTGCTAAGAAACTATAACAACTAAATGAGTAATTTAATCTTTACAACGGAATAAAAAGTGAAAATGGTCACCCTTGTACCCTTGACTTTGGATAGACCACTTCAAGATGATCCATGCATATTGTTCTTTTTACCAATAATAATATACTTCAATGCTTTTAAGCTGTCTAATCCTTGCTATTCAGTAAAGGCCGCAATGACAAATTTAACTTTATCATCGTTCTTGATCTTATCGTGACCTTTCAATTTCATTTTGTACTCCGCTATTACTTTCACATAACCAAACGTATTTTGTTTCATGCTTGGAATGTTTACAGTTTCACTTCCACAGTTCTCTTTATGGGGATGCCAAGGGTTTGGGGAGAAAACTTGTTTCTTTCTGCTCTTCATATGTTCCTGGAGTTATAAATCCTCACACAAGAATTGTACAACAATGGAACAAGTTTTTGGCCATTTTTTGCATGGTGGCCATTTTTGTGGATCCATTATTTTTGTTCTTAATCTATGTGCAGAAGGTAAGATTCTTTTTCCTTTTATTTAACTGTAAAAATCATGTGCAAATTATAGATAATTGGATATGATATTTTACAGTTACTGTTTTTACAATGTACTCTACATTTTCCCCATTCATTGTATGCAGGATGATAAATGTATTGCTATCAACTGGAACATGACAAAAACACTTGTTTTACTAAGAAGCATAAATGATTTTGTATATTTATTGAACATTCTTCTCCAGGTAATTTCTCAGTAACTTGCACCTTCCCAAAAAGTGTGCTAATACATATATACTAAGCAGGTCCATAGAAAGTACTTTTTTATGAATATTTTTGTGGCAATTGGATAGAAATGATAGGTCATGCCATATCTATACACACATTTATATCAAGATGTAATTTACAGTCAGCAACCAGGTCTAGCACAATTGGTAAATAGCCGAATTTTTTAAGCATGCTGATAGGAGTTCAATTTTCTGATCGTGCAGGACGATTGGATGGGGATATCCTTGGTGTAAACCTAAAAAAAAGAACACAATTTATAGTGGTCTCTCTTATTTTGCAACAGGTTCTCTTTGATTTCTGAAGACAATTTTAATAGATGTGGAGTGCAAGGAATGTGTGTGTGTGTGGATGCCTTGGATAAGGATTTAAAGATTGATATGTCATATGTTTGACTGGCTTAATAATCTTAATAAGAAGCATCTTATCCATCTCTTCCAAGTGGCATTCGTCGTTGCAAAGCAAAATGGAGTTGTTCATGAAGTAACCAGTGAACATGGTTAAGCTATAAAGTATAATACAAGAGATTTCATGAGACTTCTGTCTAGAGCTCCTAAACTTTCCACCACAAGTATATTATTACCGATGAAAATAATCATACTCAAACAAGAAAAAGTGAAACAAGAAGTACATTGTATATACAATAGGAAAGTTATGGTGATTTACTTGCTCATCTGGTGGAGAACAAGTACTAAAGATACTTATTGTGCTTTATTATAAATTATTCAAGTTGCTGTAATTTTGGTCATAGCACACATAAATTGGATAATTGGGTTTAATTATTGCCTTTATTTTCTTCACTAACCCATTTTGCAAGTGTGTCATGAACTTGATTCCTGCAGCGTTTCTCTTCTGTAATCTAAAACCAACCATTTCATTGAAATTTTCAGTTGTAGGCAAATTTTCAGTTGTCATGAAAATTGTCATCATAAGCCATACGGTGTCAGCTACATTATATAAATTAGACTGAAAGAAAAAACAATGAAATGATTAGTTGAGTTCAATGATAAATAAGCTTGACTGTTACCTAATTGATATTATATTTTATGTAGCAGCGATGTACCTGTGTAAGTATAGCTTTTCCTTTTATCTATCAGTTGAGATTAAATGGACAATAAAAGAACCAGAAAAGTTAATTTGTCCTGAATATATCTTGAATATGGTTAATTGTTGAGCTTTTAGGTATAGTTTGATGCTTTGTCATAATTTAAACTTTTAAAGCTGAATAACTATTAAGTTGTCTCTTTTCAGTTTAGGTTGGCATATGTTTCTCCAGAGTCAAGGGTGGTTGGTGCTGGAGACTTAGTTGATCATCCCAAGAAAATAGCTCTCTATTATCTGCAGGGTTATTTTCTTCTTGACCTCTTTGTTGTATTTCCTCTTCCTCAGGTAAAATTAATTCTTCCCGACTCTCTTTTTTCATTACCTTCTTTATCTAATTTTACTTATAATAATTGCTTAGTTTCTAATGCAAATTATATATGATACAAGCCATGCAATTGAATGGAAAAACTTATTAATATTTTCCATTAATTTCTTGGATTTCATCAGATTTGGATATAATTAAACATGCTTATCGGGTGAGAAGAGTTAAGCTAAACTATATATAAAACCAAATTAGATGGTCAAAATTAAATTCAAAACAATCTTCAGGAAGTTTCACTGTTATTGCTTGAGTATACAAATAGGTGGCGGTAAAGAAAGTGGTTTTATTTGTTAAAAAATAAATCAACTATTTATGTGTGTGTGGTTATTGTATGTTCATCAAAAGCCATGATATCCATATATAACATAATGAAATATGTGCAGATAATGATATTGTTGATCCTACCAAGACACTTGGGGTTATCAGGAGCAAACTATGCTAAGAATCTTCTGCGTGCAGCGATCCTTGTGCAGTATATTCCCAAACTATTCAGGATTTTGCCACTGCTAATTGGACAATCACCAACAGGATTTATATTTGAGTCAGCTTGGGCGAATTTCATTATAAATCTTCTCATTTACATGCTCGCTAGCCATATTGTTGGCTCTTGCTGGTACCTCCTTGGTCTACAGGTGAGTCCAAACAACATTTGAAGCTTATCTTTTAAAAATTGAGAATGGCATGTTTGATTACTTTTTTTCAAAAATAAATTAAAATGCAACACAATTTGTTTGGGTTGTCAGTTTTTTTTTTTTTTTAAAACATGTGTCCATGAATATGATTAGTTTACAATTGAGGGAGAGGTTGAAAAAGATGAGAACAGAAGATGATAAAAAATCCCTTAGGTGTTTTTATTTCTTGATGTTTAAAACACTTATTTTAATTGGAAACAATTTTCAAATGGTAATAAATTTTGGATGAGAAATTAATTGTTAAATAGTATGGGATTATCTTAGAAAAAAATATTTAAAACCAAAAAATGAGGAGGGAATCAAACTAGCCTTATTTTCTTGAATTCTCTACTCCCACTTCAAACCACTACTATTTCTACCTCAAGCTTTCAATACAAAATTCACCAAACAAAGTTTTTTGATATTTATTATTAATTTTGTGAAATAATTTTCAAAAGCAGGAAAACAAGAACAATTTTCTTCCTCTCTAGATGTCATTATTTGCTTTAGTATCTTGCTTTCTACCCTTTACAGAATAAAAAAAGCAAAAGAAATATTACTGGATTCACACGAATGAATGACTTCCATGTAATATAGCACACAGTATATATAAGCAAAATAAAGTGTTACTGTCTTGTTAGTATAATATCAGTACATGCCAAAAGAGAATAATTCTTCTAACCATTTTATTTAATATTGATAGCAAAATTCAACTAATATAGTCTTGGATTCTCTAAATATGAGTGATCCAATTAGGAATCAAGAATTTGGTTCAGTAAACAAAGGTGGCTAATATTTACTTACTTTCTCTTTTTCTACCTCTTCCTTCTAGAGGGTTAATCAATGTTTGCGAGATGCCTGCGGTAATTCTCATATTGATAGATGCATGAGAGTCATTGATTGTGGACATGGTCATACTAGAAACAACCAATCTGACCGGATATCAGCTCTGTGGAGCAACAATTCAAATGCCATTGCATGTTTGAATCCCTCCCCCAGAGGTTTCAATTATGGGATCTATGTCAATGCTGTACCTCTTACAATGCAAACTAGTGTGGTTAAGAAATATGTTTATTCTCTATTTTGGGGATTTCAGGTATGCATCTCTTTCTTAATTTTCTTTATTTGTTTCTCTCCATAGTAATTATGTATATTTTTGGTACTATATAAGTAAAGAGATATAAATACTGATTTGGGCTTAACTGTGGATGTATCTATGTAGGTAGCATATCTAGGGAGACTTGAGCAACCATTATTTTCTTACACTCTCCCTATATATGTCATGCATCCATCTTTCCATGCATGGAAATGCTAACCTTCATACAAACCGTTTTTATTGGTTAACTGATTATAACAATGCTAATTTAGTAAATATAAATTCCATGAAATTCTCACGGTTGGCATCTTACTTTCTAACCCACATGGCTAATAACTACTTAAAGCTTAGATGAAGCACATACCAACTCTATGTCATGGTAGAATTAATTAGGAAAATGAGGAAAACAACCAATATGTTGAGTAGAGGGGGCGGGGGGAGAGAGACAAATGCAACAATGGGTCATCAATATTCGCAAGTGAACTCAATCCCATATCTTAACCTAAAATCTTAAAGCATCATGTTTATGAGTCTATCACTCTTATGCTACTCAATATACCCGTCCCTATCTAATGTTGGACATTTTTTTTAGGATATCTTATGTGAGGCTCTTGTTCATACTTGTACACTGACATAATAAACTCTAGAATATATACTTTCATGAATACTTTAATACCATGAAACCAATACTTAAGCTCTTCAGTACATAAATGGTTTGATGTCTCGACAATTATAGTATTATACTTTTGTGATGTATAATGCAGCAAATCAGTACTCTCGCTGGTAGTTTAACCCCAAGTTATTTTTGGGGGGAAGTCCTTTTTACAACGGCCATCATCGGATTGGGACTCTTGCTTTTTGCAGTTCTCATTGGAAACATACAGAACTTTCTTCAAGGTCTTGGACGGAGGTAGAACTTACTGCTGTCACATGCTTTTCCCCTTAACTGTTTGATGACAATATTGTATCTCTTTTTCATTTGTTTCCCTTTAAGTCCACTTCTATTCAGAGTACCTTTTGAGGGAAAAAATTTTAGAAAAAAAAGATGCAGATGGATGAATGATAGCCATCCTGAGTGTAATTTTTTCAAACTATAAGCTGCAATTCCATAACCAAAAAAGACTCGTGAACAAATTTTAACTAATTTTTTATCTTATTTAATGATATTATCTTTAAAATACCCTTCATTTAATTGAGATTTTATTTCCAATGACTTATTTTGTTCTTGATATCATGTTTCAATGAAGGACATTATAGAAAAAAAGTTAACCTTTAACTGAGATTAGCAAAATTAATTGAAGTTAACTATAACTTTCTTAATTAACATATAAAGTAACTAATTTTATTTATATTTGAGTCTAGAGATAATTGCTCTTCATTATACTATACCAGCAATACGATTCATATTACCATATGTTATTTAAATAGGGCTGAGTTATTTAAATAGGACTAGGATTCTAGGAAGAGGTCCTCCCTAAATATTATATCAAGTTAATTCTATACAGAGAATTTTGTCCTTGTTAGTCAGCTTAACTTATCTACTTTATTGAAGTTTGATAGTGAATTTCTTATTTGTTTAGGCCTTATGGTTATAATGCACTTGATATATAGATTTTCTTCCATGTCACTTGCAGAAGGCTAGAAAAGCAACTTAGAGGTCGTGATGTTGAGCAATGGATGAGCCATCGTCGCTTACCAGAAGATCTAAGAAGGTACAAATTAAATGTTCTATTACAAATCACATTGATTATGGATACATAGTAACATGTCTTGTGAGTCATTGCAACTGTAACTCCTTACCCCCTCACAATTAAGCATGGATATTATGTTACAGGAAATTAAGGAAGACGTACAATTAAATGAATTAATTTATAAGTGATGGATATTATTATTATTATTATGTCTATTATGCAGAAAAGTACGACAGGCTGAACGGTATAATTGGGCTGCAACAAAGGGAGTGAATGAAGAAATGCTTCTTGAGAATTTGCCAGAAGATCTGCAGAGAGACATAAGACGTCATCTCTTCAAATTTGTTAAGAAAGTATGCACTAGAATACTTGAGGCATAATGATTTATTATAAGTTATAACTACACAATTTATCATGATTACTATGAGTATAATTGTGGTTCACACATTGGGTGAAGTTCAAAGTCACAGACACCATGCCTCAATTAAAATTCGATCTATATTCCTTAGGTCCTTTCTCTCTATCTGTAAGATGCTAGAAATTAATGGAACTTAAATGTGAAATCCATTTTGAAGGCAAAGCTTCGTGCATCTTCATGGTCAAACTAATAGAATGATACATCAAGAGCCAAATGATAGTTTACTCTTTTACTTTGTATCAATTTGTATGCATATTTGAGAATCTAAAATGCTGGTAGGTCCGAATTTTCACCCTGATGGATGAGCCTATCTTAGATGCCATTTGTGAGAGATTGAGACAGAAGACATACATCAAAGGAAGTATAATTTTGAGTCAAGGTGGCCTAGTAGAAAAGATGATCTTTATTGTGCGTGGAAAATTGGAGAGCATTGGAGAAGATGGAATCAGAATTCCCTTGTCTGAAGGCGATGCTTGTGGTGAAGAACTTCTGACATGGTATCTTGAGCATTCTTCTGTAAGCACAGGTATATCAATACTCAAAAGGTTTGTTTAGAAGAACTTTTCCACATGCACTTTTAAAGTGAAAAATTAAGAAGAAAAAATTAGTTTATACATAAATTAAAAAAAAAAAATTGAAGAAGTTAATATAAGAGAGTTTTTACAAATTAATTTATACATGAGTTAATTTTAATTTTTTTAAAATATGTATATATATATATATATATATATATATATATATATATATATTTCTCTTATAAAAAAAATTATTTTATTTTTATATTTTCTTCTCCTGTAAGTATTTATTGAAAAGTTTATCCAAAAAAACCTTTAGTCTAACGAAAACATGTTTGTTTAATAGGAAATGAGAAACAGCACAAGTCATCAATATTTTTTCTCTTTCAGATGGTAAAAAAGTAAGGCTTCTGGGACAAAGGTTGCTTAGCAACAGAACAGTAAAGTGCTCAACAAATGTGGAGGCTTTTTCACTCCGAGGTGAAGATCTTGAAGAAGTCACAACCCGATTCATGAGATTCTTGCGGAATCTTCGAGTTCAAGGATCCCTAAGGTAATTCATTTCCTTTTTTTGTTGTATCTGTTCATGGTTTAGCAAAATATTGACCATATTTTGTCTTACTGGAATGAAAATCAGTCATCTCTTTCATAAAGAGTGTTTTCACTATATTTATGACTTGTCTACATTGCTAAGATTCCGTATATGTGCTTCATTTTCATCAAGGGAAACTATCCTTGGTTATCATAGTTCATATAATAAAAATGAATGGTGACATCTTGTAGGACACCTTTGATCCAAATTCCTCTTTCACCTCTCTTTAATAAAAATAAATAAAATATATATATAAAAAAATCATTGGAAAGAATAGCCCTTAGTACACAGGTCACAAATTTGAGATTCTTACTCGTAAAGTAAACCCACTTTATTTTTTCAAATCCATGGCTAGATCATGAGATAATAATTTGATCATTTTATTATGTCAGGTATGAATCACCTTACTGGAGATCATTAGCAGCAATTCGAATTCAGGTTGCATGGAGATACAGGAAGAAACGTACAAATCCAGCTATGCCTCACAATTAGATCAAACATTGAATGTAGGTTGTATAATGTGAGAAGATAGTAAATGAAAACAATGCATAAAACTAAACAAAAAATAGCTGTTGGACTAATCTATTAACTGAATAGACTATATGCATCAAACTAAACAGATTGTGCTACAGACGAAGTTATAATAGCTTTACCAACATGGTTCTCCTCTATTAACTTGATAAGTATAATAATCCCAACTAAGTCTTGACAATCAAAAAGTTTATCTCTTCCATTGTTTAAAACAATACCCTTGATCGTAACATAATCTTATTTAGAAAATTATTGCATGTAAAAATAAAGTGATATTAATAATACTTAGAAATCTCGTCTAAAGTAGAAAAGTTAATAATACTCTACTCCATTTGTTGCTTTTCACACGTTAAGGGTGATATTAATAATACTTATTAGAAAAATGAAATCATTTTAATAATACTCTTTTCCATTGTTGCATTTCACAGGGTAAGGGTGACATTAATAATACTTATTAGAAAAATGAAAGGTTGATGTCTAAATCCCTCTTTAAAGGAATTAAGCCTAATGGGTGCCTTATTGTCTGAATATCTGGTATGTCCGCACCAAAACAGTATGCATCACACTTCTTACTGATTCACTGCATTTATGCATGCAATATGCATACACCAAAACAATTGGAAAGGACCATGTACTTGCCATGTAACAAAAACCAGTGACAAAATATTACTATCATCATATTATCCTAAGAGTGATCATATAAAATATTCGGATCAGACGTACCACAAGATATGCATACAAACTCTGTTCAAGTTATAATTATAGGTATGTTGATGCATTTATCCATTTGACATGGCCACACATTATAATGTGCAAAAAACAAAAAAATAGTTCTATAGAAACAACTCATTCTATTGATTGATATGAAAAGATTATGAGAGAATTACATGTATTCATGAGTGTTATAGAAGATAACTAATCTCAACTAACTAATTAACTTATAACAGCCCCCTCAAGTTGGTGATGGTAATAAAAATCACCATAAGCAACTTGAACATGAATTTTACACAATAAAATGGTAATTCATTGCTTGGTATCAACAAGGGCAATGATTTAAGGTGCTGAACCCTTGGCTTGAGCCTTCTCTAAAATTATTGCAAAATTAATAGGACCATTGGGTTTCTCTTCTGTTATTCGACAGAATTGGACATCAGCTCTTGGGCAAACAATCCAGCATGAACACCGACATCTGCCCAACCACCTACACCATCTGCAACTCTAACTGCTAGCTCATCTGTGCAAATCAAAATAAAACGTGCATCATTGATAACTTGATGGAACCTCCCAACATGACCACTTGAAAATCTTTGCAAAGATATGTAATATGTTTCTCAGGAGTTTTCCAGTGTGCTTTATATGAAAATAGCAAGTTTCTGCAATGCTTATTGCCCCTTTTCTCCATCAATACCAGAAATGATAGGGTCAATATAGCTGAATTGAGAGAGAAACAGAGTCATTGAGTTGGTGTGGAGAGTGGTTGTTTGATCAAATGACCCATTTAACAGTGCCTTTTCTTCCTTCTTGGAGTTGATTATCTTATTCACCTTCGCTGTGTTGGTTTCTATTAGTGCAATGACCCCTCTGCACAGTTGCTGTAACTCGTGTCTTCTTTGTTCTTTCTGTCGATTTTGCTTCATTCTTGCACTCTTGAATCATTACACAATGGCTCCCAATCATGATAGATTCTCCTTCAAATGTGTTATCACTGTTAGTGTTGTTCAGTTTTTCTTCATCTACAGCTCAGGGTTTGTTTCCTCCATTATTACATCTTGTTTTGCCTCCATAGAAGTCAGAACTTCATCCATAGTTTCAATCTCCTTTTTGTCATCTTCAATAAAGGCGGAAGTGGAATCAATGCTCCCTTCCTGAGAGTGGTTAAAGTGCTAAGAATTTTATATTTCCTTCAATAAAATATCCAAACAAAATATTTTAAGATAATGGATTTTAAATCCCTTCAAAATTGCAATCCACTTATAAAATTATCTACCAAACAGACAGAGAGGAGACAGCATTGGTAACAAAATTACAAATTTTACAGCCAGCCTTGTATTGAATATATAAAATCCAGCCCTCAACCATCATGCATTCAAATGCTAACCTTCAACCCTTGAACCTTCATTCATTACCAAGCCCTACCTATCTTTAACTCAGAAAGAGATAATGATTTCCAATTCCAAATAATCATCACAGTTTCCAGCTTGGTTTGACATCTGAAGCAATATTATGATAAAAATCCTGGAAAGTAAATGAAGCCAATCGGATCAACAGTATATTGAGAAGAAGAAAAAGGATAGATATGACAAGTCTCAAGCAAATTTACCATTAATATGGTTACAATATCAAAATGAACCTAACAACTGATGTGACTTTTGATGAAAAGTAAAGTAGCAGTGAACCCATTACACAATCCATATTTTTAACATTTAACTATCAAAATAAGCATTGGCTGGTCATCACCAATATTCAAAATAAGTTGTGGTGTAACTAGAAAGTGCCTCACCTAGCTTTGCTCCCACAGTAAGCCTCTAGCAATCATTTCATGAAGAAGTTTCTCGGCCATATCATTCTCATTTTCTTTAGAGAGAGCATGAATAATTGTATCATAAGTTACAAAATTAGGAAGGCAACCACGATCTTCCATTATTGACAGCATGGCCAAAGCTTCATCAAACAAGCTCTCTTTACAAAGCCCATTGATCGTGATAGTATATGTCCTGACATCTAGATGATAGCCTTTAGTGAGCAGATTTTGAAAAACCTTTGTGCTGTCTCAAGTCTTCCACCTTTACACAATCCATCCATCAATAAGTATATTGTATGAGGACTGATCCAGTTGAATCCCCTTGTTTATAAATTTATTGAATAATGAAATTGCCCTGTCTAGAAGATGGTTTTTGCATAAAGCATCTAATAAAGAATTGTAAGTGAATATATTGGCAGGTACACCTCTATCAGACATTTGATCAACAAGCTCCCATACATGAGACATCTTCCCTGATTTGCACAAACCATGAATAAGAGAATTGTAGGTTACCGTATTAGGAACAATGTTTTTGCAATGCATTTCTTTAAAGAGATCCATGGCTTCATCCACCATTTTAATCTTACAAAATCCATTAATAATAATGCTGTAGCTCCGAACATTGCAATTAACTCCCCTTCGGGCCATACTGTTGAATATATTCTTGGCAGCATTCACATCTTCAACTAAGCAATGACCATCCATTAAAGAATTATACGTAACAACATTAGGTTTCACACCGGCTTTCATCATCACAGCCAACAAATTTTTTGCTTCTTTCACCTTTCCTTCTTTACAAAAGGCATCAACCAATATATTAAATGTAAAATCTGTTGGGTTGATGTTTTTCAATACCATCTCACTAAAGCTCCTTGAAATTGATCCACTATGCAAAAACCATATACTAAAGTGGTGTAAGTGATGACATCTGGAGATATTTCCTTGACAACCATTTCAGAATACATACCATTTAGCTTCGGCAAGATTTTTATCTTTGCACAGGCTATCGATGATTGTGTTCTACATTACTACTGCGGGCTTGATTAAATGCCCTTCAATCTTTTTTAGCAAATGCACAGCAGTCCTTGTTTCTCCTATTTTACACAAGCCATTGATCAAGGTGGCATAAGTAAATTGATCCAAGTGAAATCCTTGAACTAACACTTGATCATGAAAGTGCAGTGCTTTCTTAACCTGGCCATTAAGGCAGAGACCTTTCATAACTGTGGTCAAGGTTATGGTATCTGGTTGATAACCTCTTTTGAGAATCTTGGCCAATAGAGAAAAGGCAATGGACATTTGACGCAGGTAGCAGTAACAATTGATGAGAATGGTAGTGCTTCCCCTCAATTCCAATTTGTTAGAAAGGGAAATAGCAGTGGGGTAGTGCTTCATCTTCACAAGGAACCCTAAAATCCTGTTAAATTCAACGATGGATGGTGTTTGAGGATTGAATGAGAAAACGGCATCATCAACACTGTCCATGGATGGGGGCTGGGATTCAGAGTGTAGCGTTGCGGTACAAAAAGGAAGAAAATTTATAAAATGTAATTTTTGTTGATAAAAATTATTTTAACATGTGAGAATTTAACTTAGTAGTATTAATCTTCCGTATTCCATAACACAGGTTTCGTTACTATTTCATAAACAAAATTTACTTATAATTATTAATTTGGAATAAGTATTTTATATGTTTAATTTATTTTTTTTCTTTCTTTTTTTTAATTATTTTATAATTTTGTGAATTTAAATTAGAAGAGATAAGAATTTAAAATTTATAGAACAAAAAGAGAGAGAAAATCATTATTTATTAATATGACCCAAAATTTATCTTATAAGTTAAATTATATTTTAAGTGAAAATTTAAATGTTTACTCTTCTCTCCACTTTCACTTTGGTGCAACCACTCCAAAGAAAGAAAGAGAAAATTAGTTTCTCTTCATCTTTTCCATTTCTTTTTTTTCTAGAGTTTTTCTTCTTATTCTACTCAACCTAAGGTAAATAATTTAGTTTTTTAGCTTTTTATTTATCTTTTAACTTAGTATTCCAAAAATTTTATTATGACTACTTGTCTCTATCATTATTTAAACAAGCAACCAAAAATGGATTTTGCATTCTTTGAGAAAAGATAAATGCTTTAGAGTCTACAAATTTTATCCAAACAATTCAACCAAAACCCTTACATATTTTAAAATACTAATTATAATTATATATATATATATATATATAATTTAATTCAAAACATTGGCAAGTGTCAATTCTATAATGGTTTGAAAGATAAATCGGACTCTACATTTCGAAGGATATAACATTTCTCATGAAAAAAAAAATCCCTATGAACAAAGTAAACAATTATTTTTCTTTTCCTATTTCACCGTTAAAAAATACATTCATTGAAAAAATCAAATATAATATAAAAGTATAGATATATCTCAAAATGTGAACATAAAAAAGATTTATTTTCATTATATGTTGTTATAGGCAGTGTTTAAAAAACCGGACCGAACCGGCTGGGCGAA